GTTAGGTACTCAGGTAAACCTAACCAATTCATGTGGAAGCTTTTTTTTTCTGTAATACACAAGGAGAATGAACTCCCCCCTCTTGATTTTCTCTGAAGTCTTCATACAGTAAAGCCAGCACCTATAGACACTAACAGAGGATAAGAGTACCTGACTTCTGTTTTATTTATTCTGTGTGAAAACTTTAAGCTATGCTAGGAGCCATGCTTGTTTGTATTAATTACCATACTTGAGGTTTCCCAGACACAAATGGGTAACTTGAGTCTTTCAAGTTCTTTGTGAGTAAAGGGATGATCTAGTTCCATAGAACTGGAGGCAAGAAAAAGTCTGGTGTAGCTCCCGGTGGGCAACGAGCGCTCCGCACAGGAGATGTTCTTGGCATAGAGATGGGGCTCCCACAGCTGGCCTGTGTTCTGTCATGGCAGGAAACTGCCATGAAGGGCACGCGAGGGTCACTACCCTCAGTGAAAGAGCCAACTTTTTGCATGTTGAAGATCTAGAGAACTGCAACATAAAGCTTTTTGGTCACAAAAATAGCAGGAGTTATTTATTGCAATTGCAACTGAAACTCTAGAAGGAAGCAGCAAGATAAAAACAAATGCTAAAGAACTGAAAAAAAATGGCTGTTAAGGAAAGCTGTTACACAGAGCAACACTTCTTCCCTTGGCTACTGGAGGAGGTACAGGATGGCTGTTGTGAGTCAGACCTGAGGTGTCTGCACAGTCTGCATCAGGACATGGAGCCATTTGTGGTGGCTGAGGAAAGAATTTAAGAACAGGACACCTACGTAGAGATACTGCATTGGAATATGATGGCTTTGTACAGTTTGCAGCTTAGTAACTTTGAGGAGGATGTGATGTCTTCATTAGTTATCGAGCCTCTATCTAGGGGAACCAGGCTCAAGTTCTGCCAGGGGAGGTTTAGGTTGGATAATAAGAGTTTCTTTACTGAAAGAGTTGTTAAGCATTGGAACAGCCTGCCCAGGGAAGTGATGGAGTCACCATCTCTGGAGATGTTCAAAAAACACATAGAAGTGACACTTCAGGACATAGTTCAGTGGTCATTGCGTTGGCAGTTGGACCTGATGACCTTGGAGCTCTTTTCCAACCTTAATGATTCTAAGAAATTTTCTTTGATCAGTTTGTTCAGTTACCTTTTGAGCCAGCACACCTTTTGCCCACCACAGTATTTCGCATTATTGAAATGGGAAGCATTGCCTCATCTTCGTATTTGGGCTGGACAACTGGGTTTTATTCAACACCCACTGCCCAAAAGGCAAATAAAACTCCTTCTGAGAGTTGTGGTGATACAGAGGTTTAGTCTATTCCCACTTCTTACTTTGCTCCTGCTCCTTTTAGAGGAAAGCTTTGTTCCTGTAGAGCATTTTTCATTAGAATTATTCTTAAATCCTAGTCTGACACGTTTTCAGATTTCCTTCTTTCAGCTGCAGAATTGCTGGATCACCGATTTCCCCCTGGGGACATGTTGGCAGTACAGATAAAAGAAAAGCCAAACCATTAAATGTTCTTTTCAGCTTGAATATTGAGGGCAATAGGAAGACTTCAAACAAACTAATTTCAGTTTAGACCAAAAAAAGCCCAACAACAAACCATTAAAGGAACAACATCATTTGAGTAGTTTAATTATACTACCTCATGCTGAGCAAGTAACAGCAGATAGAACTGTTACACTGCTGATCAACCATGTCAGCATTTTAAAAGGACAGAAGAACTTTTTAAAGGGGCTAATTCAAAGCTTAAAAACCTCAAGATGAATGCACTTGGATCCTGCTGTGGAGGCCTCTGCTGCTTCCATAAGGCAAGAAAGTGCCCCTTTCTAACACTGATTTTTCTCCAATGGCAAAAGCCAGGAATTTTGTTTCTGCCCACCTCCTTTCTTACACCCTGTCATCACTTTTTCTGGCCCCGTGGGAGCCACACGTTGCTCAGGCACCATGATGTTAGAATACAGATCTTTGTTAAAGAGATTGTGAAGTGATTCAGACGACACCAACCTAAAGCATCAGTCTTTATTTATAAAGTAAATTACAAAATAGATAAGGTAAACTTAGTTACCTGTAGCATCTGAAGGTGGTTTTCATTGAATAGACACTGTAAATCATGTTTCCTTTATCAATGTGTTTATGCAAGTAATAAAGCAATTATTGCCTTGATTAGTTTTACAAACCTCTGCCAGGAGTGTATTAAAAGGTTAAATTCTCCCTACCTTGCCACAAAAATATTTCAAAAATAATTACCAGTTAATTAACTATTTAATAGCTTGTGAGTTCACTGCAAGCAGCTGCATTGCTTTTGAACGTTATGAAGACCAACAACGATTTGAATGGACACCTCCAATTACTAAATGACCAGAGACAGTTAAAGGAGTAACTTTTCATTAATGCCCTCATTTTGTGCTGGCTCTGAGCATTCATTAACAGTAGTAGTGTTATGTGAGGCAACTACATAGATGTAAACTTGACAGATCTTACGAAAAGATGGGATGATGGTTATTGCTTTGTCAGGAGAACAGCTACAAGAGGCCAGGAGAGGCAGGTGACAGTGCAAGACTTCATACAGTTCTCTTTCAGGGGGAAGGTGAGGGGGAAATATGCTCAGGACATGACTCTCTGCTGGCTGGTCAGAGGGTTCTACACCCACACAGAATATTTTCAAGTCAGATAACTTATAGTGTGTGGTTTAGACCAAACTCTAAAGCAGCTCATTATAAACGCCCTCACATAATCACTTAATCAGCTCTCACCAGCCTCCAGAGTAAGCTTTCTATCTCCAATCCTCATCTACCTAGGACAGGATTAGGAAAAAAACCAAACAAACCAAAAAACAAAACCAAAACACAACATGCACGTAACCATATCAGGTCAAACTGTTCATCAGTTAAAACTTTTGGTATTAAGAAGCTGAACTTCTTTACTGGCTCAGAGAAGTGTAGAAATGTATGTGCAATCTTGGTACGGCTGACACATGGGCAGGAGAACTAAATTCAAACAGAAAACCCTCTTGCAGTGATTTTTAACTGCTACGCTTCAAAGGTTTTCCTTAAAAATAAAAAGAACAAACAAATAAAATACAAACAGAACAAAAAACTCCACCCTAAATTGAATTAGGTGTGCTGAAAAGATTCAGAGTTCAACTGAAGATACATTTGATGACAGTGTACAATGAGCTGCACGCACATTAACCATGTTTAAAATACAATGACACTTGCCTGCCATGTAGCACAGAGAAGAAAAACTTCAAAGCCCAGCTCCTTGCCCTAGAGGGAAGAAGGCAAGAGGCAGAAAAAGGATGCAGTAGCTAAGGGCAAGCAGATTAACTGAGGATCAAGAGCTATTGCAGTGGATGGATGTAGTGTATAAGACTAAATGAAAAAAAGATGAGGTGTCAAATTTCTACTGCATAGCAAAAAACCACAGTAAAACCAACAACTATTGCAATCTTCACATTACATAGTGCAATCTCAGATGTCATTAACAAGCTAGTATCTCCCAAATGATACATAAGATAAATTTAATCAGGAACTAGTAGCATCAAAGCATTATACAAAACTGGGTTAAAATCTATCTTCCACCAGATGGACACGTGATTCAGCTACAAAGTATGTACACCCAGAACCTACGATCATATGCAGTGAACCAAGACTTGCAACTCCCACGTAGCTTTAAAAGAAAATAAAAATTCCAAAGCCACAAAGCTCACATACAGGAAAAAAAAAACCAAAAACACAAGTGCCCACTGAGGAATACAATCTCTCCACTAGTATTTACCTCATTACATGATTTTAAATATTTAAGGTCATCCAATACTTTGATTCCCACATCTAATTCTTCTTTAATCCACTTATTAATCTACTTTTCTTCTTTGTATCAAACATTATTCATGGTTCAATCAAATTTAGACTATTTTGGCTAATTTCAGTATTTTGGAGGAGGAAAAAAAAAAGTCAAAATCCTAACCAGGTGCTGCCAGCAGTTATTCAAGACTTGCTGGATTTTGTTACAGATTTAAGTTACTATTAAAGTTCAAACATTCAGGAAAAGTCACGTTCAGAATACCTTGAAAGTTAAAATTGCAGTTGATACTGTAACACACTAGGATCTCAAAAATAACTCACCATTATGAAACGAGTCTATTTCAGTTTTTACTGAGCTTACAGTTTTAGATCCAAGTGCATATATAATCAATTATTTATTAGAAACTTTAACATATTGCTTTTGAAAGCAGCTCCATAATCTACTGAGTATACTAATTCATGCACTTTTAATCGCCTTTAACTTGGTCATTCAGTATTTAATATGTAAGGCTTACAAGTAGTGTACAGAAGTCTGGAAAAGCCGTAGTGGTTTTATGTCAGATTTCTTCAAAAGTCAATTCCACGCAATTACTTATAAATTTGAAATGACCACGCTGTTGCGTGGGAAAATATCCAGCTATTCCCGAACACTTGCATTAATTGATGGATAACTGATTTTAGTTTTATTTTTTCTATTACAAAAAACCGAACAAACAAAACCAAACAAAACAAGGACAAAACCCAACAATGCATCATGTCAAAACCAGGAAAGAAAAAACATCTATTGTACTACTGTCCATAAGAGCTACAAGGAAAAATGAAAATTAATCTGGGACAACACTATATAGTCCTGCAACTCTTCTCTTTCTCTTCACATGGAAACTGTTACATGTTTCAATAGGCTACTCCTAAGAATATAGGTTTGTTATGTAGGCACACAGCTGCGACAAACCCACAGACTGCATGGACTGAATAGTCATGCCTGCAAAGTTTATGATCACATGTACAGCTATTAAATAATAGATTCCAATTTAAAATGAAGGGGGACTAGCTTAGTTTTCCTCTTCTACCTTTACAATTAGCTCTTCCACACGTCATAAAACATGGTCAACAAATATAATCATGTAACAATATAAAAAAGTGTCGATGTCAAAAGAGACAAGAGTAAAAAGCCTTTTTTTCTTCCCTAGCATCTATGAATGGAATGATTTCAGTTCATTACCAAAAGCCAGAAATGCATTTCTCACTGTAATGCTTTATAACAAATGCAAACAAACAGCTTCTAATCACTGGGCGTTTCAGTCTCTGCCGGACCTCTGATGAGTCTTCGGATTCCCCTCTTCCCCGCAGGACCTTTTGGTTTAGCAAAACTTTGTTTGTGAGCATGCTGTTTTGGATGAACCTCTTCATAAAGGAAGTCAGCAGTTAACTCATCGCCGTTGTCTATTTCAATCTGGGGCAAAAAACATTTTATAACGTTCATCTTAAGGACATACTGAAAAGCATTTTGAAATTCTGCTGATGCTCTAAATACTGTATTAAAACCACATGTGCAATAATATTCAGTCTAGCATGAAATGTTCTCTTGACTTGTGCTGAATGCCCTGAGCAATCTTGGATAGCTTTTCTGAGAACCCACTATACTCTTACCAGTACTTAGGGTGATTTGACATTATTATTTCTCCTGAAATATAAGCTCAACTACACAGTACATATGCAAAGAAACTTCCTCTGTCCCAAGCTTTAGCCCTGTGTACATGTCAATGCAAACTAGCCATACACGCTCCATGTGGAAACAAGGGCTTATTTACTCATCTGTAAGTAACTTCCTTAACAGAAGACAAGCAAGCAGCATGCGGATCTTTCAGAATTTCCTACAATTTCCTTTCTTTTTTCTCTGTTCTATATTAAAAATTGTCCTAACATAATCTCCATACTTTAAGAATTAAAAACTTTCACTAAAACGTGCTTTAGACACTAACTGTAAAAGCAAGGTGCATACCTCTTGTTGTCTCTTGCGACAGAAGGTAAGGAGTGCAAACAGCTTATTCAACGAGCTGGCTACTCGGCAAGTACTCAAGCCAGGGAAAAGCTAAAGCAAGTTTAATGACCAAAGAGGGGCATTGTTTTGGTTTTTAAAATTTAAGTGTATCAACCTGAATGGAAAGAAAACAACTGATCTCAAGCCAAACTGTTTTGAATTGCAGGAATTCAGAAGTCAGAGAAACGCTTCGGCCCTGCTCTGCTGAGCACTCAGCCCTTCACGGCCTGCCAGCCAGCCCTGGTACTGCTGTTACACGTACATGCCCCAGAAATACGTCAGGAGTCACATGGTGTGTTTATTTAGAGAGGAAATTTCTGAGAAATAATTACATATAAAACCACGTAGTAAAAATCTACTTAATTCATGTCACTTCAGTAAAAATGATGAGTAATAACTCAGCTATTTCTCAGCTAGACATAATCAACGCAGAAACCAAGCCTCAAAGTTTTTTCTAAATTTACAGCACGAGTTTTTAAGAATGTAACCGTAGGCCACATATGAACCATCCCTATGGTCTCTGCTTCGAAGGCAAGAAGCAACTTGTAGCATAGTAGTAAAATCTATACAATGTGAAAAGATCAGTTTACTTGCAAATTCCTCTTTGCCCCATCAAGGACTCTTAAGACAGTAGTTTTAAGCTCCAGAGCTGCAGCTCAAAATAATTCTGAAAATCCCTAAATAACCTTGGCTCTAAGGGAATTTAGTGTTCAACAACAGCAATGTGGCCTTTTAGTAAGAACTTATGTTAGTTCTAAACAGCCTTTCAAAGTACTCTCAAAACACATCCTTGACGCACAAGGATATGTTTATTAAAGCTATGAAAATGTAGAAATAAATTATGAACCAGAGAAAAGCTTCCATGACCTAACTTTGTATCTAGAGCTTTATCAGCAAGTCTTTCTTGTTCTTTAATAGTTACACAACACTTTTCATTGTTTAGAGAAGGTGGTGGCAGAGGCAGTTACAGTTAGATATTAAGAAGAGAACAAGGGGATGGAGAAAATACCAGTAATACCCAGTGTACTCACCTTTCTAATTATCTGCATCCACAGCTGTCTTTCTACAATTTCTAACAGTGGACTTTTGCAACTAGAGTAGAGCATTCGTTCTCGTATACTACATGTATACCCTGGCATAGAGTAGATGAAAACTGCAGAAAAAACACACAAATGAAACCGTAACTACGCCACATCAAAACCTCCATCGTAAAATCACTTAAAGCAGAGAGTACCTGCAAATCAACTATGCAGTCTAAAAGGAAAAAATGAAACACCATTCTAGATCTTTTCTGCTTCAGCAAGTGTTTCATTTCACACAGGGGATGAGAGAACGGCTGCTATCTTCACGTTTTCACATGACAACTGATTTATGGGGTTCATAATCAAAAGGCACAGCTTGCTGCCTTCGAAACAAAGACTCTTTGGAAGCCAGTTTCACAATCAAATTATTCTGAAATTTACACTCATGCTGACGGATTACTTCCATGACACATCTTTCTCTCTGCCTCAGAATTATTAAGTACTTCAAACAAGCCAATGATTCACATTAGGAAATTTTCTCATACCTATGGACTCCAAATAGTCTCCTTCATGGGCATGCTTATACAGGAAAAAGTGGTAACGTGCAGCATCCTTTGGAATTCTTTTTGGCAAGTCCTTAAGCTCAGTGTGAAGCGTGTTGGCCAAAATAATAGTTTCATTTTTCATATCAATTTGCTGTTAACAAAGCAAACCTGAATATAGTTAATACAGAGAAAGCAAACCAGAGAACATGACAAGATGGAAAAAAAATTAATTCATCTCAAACAGAATGGTAATTTATCACTGTACGTCATCAATGCACAGTGCTTAATGTGCAGGTAATCTATTTTATACTCGCCATTAAAAAAATAATTAAAGTATTTTATACTTGCCAGTTGTACATAATTGAGTTTCTTATTTTTCAATTTCTCCAAAGCTTGAATAGCTTCTCTAGCAATGGGGAATGCTACTCCTTGCAATGTTTGATGCTTGGTATCTACACCAACGTCCGTCTGTACCTGGAACACAAGCCAATTGAGATGTAAACAGAAACCTCTGGAAGCATTCGTTCGGTTCCATACAATAACGGACAATGCCTTGCGTGTGGGCACACACAGAAGAATAAACTACGCTAAAACATCATCCCCATACACAATAGATTTGCATTTTTTAATTTACAGGTTGTGTCTGACTTGCTATCCTGAAAACAGTTTCACATCCCTGGAACAGCGAGCTTGGCAGAGGCAACACAATCACCAGAGGGCAAATGGGCTCAAGAGTTGGTGAAGAAGCTCTAAGTCAAATTCCAGTATAAAGGTTCAAAAAGGCAGGAGGGAAGTGCTTGATTTTCATGCGCTTTGTTATACTTTTGAACTGTCAATGTTTCTTATAAACTTCGTTGTATCTTGAAAAATTTTACATCAAAACATACAATTTCTTGACTCCCCAGAAGTGCCATTTGTATCTCATGAGGCAAACTGATCCTCCTGAAGGAAAAGCAGAGCAACTTCCCTCCTTCCTGCTTCAACACCCTCCCAAAGCCTATACCAAAAAGAAAGTAAACAAGGCAAAGAAACAAAATCTAAATCTTTGACTTCTAGAAGGTCTAAACACAAATTGAAAAAATCCACAGTAACTGCAACCTAGACAATTGTTCATAATCCAGTTATGTTAGTCACAAATTATCTGAGACACTAGTTATTTTAAAGCCATTTTTCAAGAATTTGTTTATCTTAACACGCAGTTTCTATCAAAATGAGCTCTAGCCCCTAGTTTTTCCAAGTCTGAACTTACTGTCTAAACTTCTGAATATATTTATGCCCTTTTATAATTTCACAAGCACATTTAACATTAGTGACGAAGCAGCAGAAGTCAGAAAAGTGTACATGATGAAAAGTGTGGGTCTTAGATATATCGACTAGAACATGTTCAGCCTTAATTGAAAAAGATGCTAATAAAATATGACACAAACAGATAAAAAAACCAATAAAGATACTTGGGGCAACTCTAAATTTACTCCAAGTTCTAAAGAACAGCTTGTCAGCAACAAGGAAAGAGAAGAAAGCAGGTGGAGGAGCTTACTTTTCTATAAAGATTGATAATTTATGCATAAAAAGTATTTGCAAAATATATCTGCTTAAAGCTCAATTAATAAACATAAATTAGACATCACATAAATAATAAAACCTAGTAAAATACCATATTCTATAAAATATATTTAAATTCAAGTAGAAAAAACAAATAAACAGAAAAACAAGCTGTGAAGTGTGAGGACAGACAAAGGAAGAGAGTAATCCAGTCTAACTCCAGATTTAAGAAAATGAACAAAATCTATCTGCAAATGCTGCAACACACTGCAGACCACTAAAGCAAAGCAAAAACACTTAAGTTACTTTAAAAATATTTAAATTCATACCATAAGATTTGTTAGTGACGGCTACTTTGTGGTGGATAAAATGGCACAGGAAATTTCCTATGAATATATGTAAAGTAACATATGCAGGAGGGAAAAACCAGCCAAACAAACTCTCTCTTCCACCTGTACAGTGCTAGGGTCGAGCTAGTACTACCATTTAGGAGCAAGACCTTGCAGGTCACATCGAGCAGTTTTGAAAATATGAGCCCAGAGGCCAGTTTTTGGCAAAAAAAAAAACCCAAACAAACATGAAATAAATAAAAAACCCCACTCCCTGTGCAGAAATGAAATGTTATGAATTGTTAGAAGACCAGTAGAGAACAGAACACATCATTACGCACTGTAGGTCCCAGTTACATGCCTGCATCTTGAATACCACATGTAGTTCTGGCTTCCCCATCCCTCCATCTCATAAATTACATAGCAGAACTGGAAAAACTGCAGAGAAAAGCAAGAGGATCAGAAGTATGGAGTGCTTTCTTCAGGACAAAGAACTACCCACAAAGAACTGACCCAGAAGAGGTAAGTGATAAGGAATACAAGAGAAGTCCAGGGATATAGAATCACAGAATAGAAGTGACCTTTAGAGGTCATCTTGTCCAACCCCCTTGCAGTGAGCAGGGACATCTTTAACTAGATCAGGTTGCTCAGAGTCCCATCAAGCCTGACCTTGAATGCTTCCAGGGATGAACCTCTACCACCTCCCCGGGCAACTTGTTCGAGTGATTCACCACCCTCACTGCCAAAAATGTCTTCCTTATATCTAGTCTAAATCTACCTTCTTTTAGTCTAAAACTATGACCCCTTGTCTTCTCACTAGAAGTCCTACCAAAAAGTCTGTCTCCATCTTTCTTTCGAGTACTGGAAGGCTGCAATAAGGTGTCCCCAGAGCCCTCTCTTCTCCAGGCTGAACAAGCAGCTCCCTCAGCCTGTTCTCATAGGAGAGAGGTGCTCCAGCCCCCGGTCATGTTGGTGGCCGTTCTCTGGAACCTGATCCAACCGGTTCACGTCTTTCTCATGCTGAGGACTGCAGAGCTGGACACGGTACTGCAGGTGGGGTCTCACCACAGAAGAGCTGAGGGGCAGAATCCCTGGAGCTGCTGGCCACGCTGCTTCTGATGCAGCCCAGGATGCGATTGTCTTTATCAAAGGGGACGGGAAACCGAAGAATTACTTAATGACTTTTCTCTGCCTTCCCAACATAATCAGAATGTCAGAATAAACTAGTAGATAGAAGGCAGGGATTCTTTACACACTTCTTTGTCAAGCTGTGGAGAACACTGCCATAGGATCTGTGGCCAGCAAAAACTTCATGCGTATTTAGAAAACTGACAAGACTAGATGATAGATGAGAAACTTGTTAAGAACAATTATATAGTAAGACCTCATCTCTTGCTAAGGAAGATCCCTGCAAGTAAACATTGAGGCAACATAACTGAAAGGAGTTATCATGGCCTTCTTGCCCTGCTCTTACACCCTTCCTAGATTTCTGCTGCTGTTCACTCAAGGACTTCACAGCAGACTAGGTGATCCTTTGATCTGGCCAAGTAAAATACACATGGAGCACTTAAATTATTATTGTGTGAAAACAAAAAAAAAAGTAAAAGCTTTTATTTTTCTGAGTCCAATTACAGGCTTCTTAATGATGGAAACAATGAAGAGAGAAACAATGTAAATTGATGCATTGCAAGATGCTCCAAACAATGCCAAAATGGCAGCAATCTAGTTTATGTATCTCTGAAAAGCACAGCTATCACTGCTGAAGTTTTGTGATAGTGGGTAAAGTTTTAGTCTGCATGAATCAGCTGATAAACACAACGTATGTAGTGCATAAGATATAACACTAAAATCAGAAGCGATCATCAGTGCCATGGAAGTCTTATATCCACTAGTGGGTTGGTTTGTGTTAAAGCTGTTCAAGTAAAACAGTGTTTGATGATGAGGAATGCATTTCTACATTGGATTAATCAAAGACATGGAAAATAACAAGACATCACTGGTGAAAGAAAAAAAAGGTCAATAAACAACAAAAGTTTCAGCGAAAGCACAGTGGAGTGAAAGCAGAAGATACACAACTGCATGTAACACGATGGTGTGCTGGTATCCAGCTGCAGAAACAAACCATATTTCAAACACATGTACCGCAGCTGTAAAATACAAGCCTAAAGAACTAATATAATCAGCACGTGACCTCTTTTAATACATGTCTGAACACAAACAGTGATCAAGTGAAGGAAAAGTCTGAGAAAAGAATCCTCTGAAACTTTTTAGTCACTAGCTGGCTGCCAATCATCAAATTATTTGGTTAAAGGCATTTGTTAGAGATTTATTTATAAAGCATTTGTAGCAAAAAGCAAACCAGTTTTTTTAAAAAGGGTAGCTACTTGTTTTGGATTTCTATTTTATTTTTATTGGCATTTTATTCGCTTCCTCTCAGTTCCACACAGCCAGTGCACTGGTGCTGGCAGCTAAGTGGGTTCCCTCTACGAATAAGGCTGCTGAAACAGCACTGGCACTCATTCACTGCAACAGTTGCTATTTTATGTTTTCTATACAATTTCTGCCACCATGGCAGCTAGGCAATGCCAGAATGCTCGAGGTTGGAAAGCACTTCTGGAGGTTGTATTTTCTGACGACCCTGCTCCATCAGGGTCACCTAGAACCAGCTGCCCAGGTCCCTGTCCGGACAGTTTCTGAGTTCTCCACGACAGAGACTCCACATCTCTGGGCAACCCATGCGAGTGCTCAGTCACTCTGCACAATGAAGCACATCCAGTGCTGTCACGGGGGGGCCAAGTTGCAACAATTAAGCTCCTCAGTTGCCACGCCACTGGCTCAGACCCTAAGCCTGTCCACCCAAACTTTCTGAAATTTTCCCTTTTCTGTTCTGCTTTTTTACTCTAGAAAGACTTAACAATATGTTTAGAAGTCTGCATCCGGTTTCCCACCCAAACTCAAAGAAATTCTAAGTACCTCATTAATCTTAATTTGTCGAAGTTCCTCTTCTGCTGCAGTCAGAGGTGCAGGGGAGGACTGTGATATCAAGTATTTTTTATATCCATTCAGTGAAACATCATCCTGAAAGCACAATAACAATACTGATGATTTTTTGATATTTTCTTCAAAGATGTAATAGGCAGCATAAAAAGAACAGTTACCTCCCATACAGTTATAGTCACTTTATTTGAATGGATTACAAGTGTAGATGCATTTGCAAATTCAGTTTAATCTTCCTGTAGAGCAGGACCCACTGGGCTGGTCTCATACCCAAGTGCACCATGGGCAGCATTTCAACAATCTGTCCCCAATTACCTTGCCAATTCAAAAATTAGCATTAATGAAAACTGTGTGCATGAAGTTATTCAGCGTTCTTGAACAAAACCTCAAGGACTGCCACAATTCTGATAAGTAATAATAAAAAAGTACATATTTTCTTACAAAATTCGTATGCTCAGACTGGTAGCTTACTGGTAGTTTTCTACATAAAAAATGAGAGACAGAAATTCCACCTTAGGACAGGGAGTAAGCACAGGATATTGCAAATAGTTGAGGATACAATATCACAGAAGCAACGAACACATTGCAGAGCTTGTTAACACTCAGTGTCAATTGTGGCCCTCTCCAAAGAGGTTGATAAGAGAGGCAAATACTGCTATATTTTTCTTATTAAGGTAGTCACTCAGAAAAGGGCAGGACTTACTGCAATCACATGAATGTGATTTTATACTCAAGTTCTGAGGAGAAGAAGAAAGCTCCTTCTTAGCATTTCCCTTTCTAAAAGAGATAGACTTCCCCAAATACATTTTCCAGTGCCAATATTCCATTATGCCTTGTTTCAAGAGTCCAGGGGTATCAAGGTTAAGATGTGTGAAGTAGCAAGTGGAACCATAACCGCAGGTTCCACCAGAATAAGAGCTGGTTGCAACTAACCCATCTTTGTGTCTAACAAAATGAAGACAGAGTAATCCACTGGATGCTGACGATGAAGGTTCTAAGCAAGGTTTGAGACTTGAATACCTTGAAGAAGCTTTGATTTTTCACACAGGCCAACATTAGATGCCAGCTATAATTAAGAGTGAAACCAACAATTCAGAGATATATCAAGCTGTAACATAAGCTTGGAAAAAGTGAGTTACATTGACTCCATCTTTTAAGTGCCCCAAGCACATTCTGAAACAACTGTCACAGGCAAATGCAAGCGTCTTCCTTAGAGTTGAGATGGAAGCTCAGTTGTTGGGCTAGGTACAAATTCCGTGTATTACACAGGCTGCTGGTGGTTTGGTGCAAGGGGTAGTGAAAGATTAGTTGACTGAATGGGCAAGGAGAAACCAGCATGACCTCTACCAGTAAACCCTCTTTGCAACTCACTTACCTACTTCTCTAGAACAAAGCATTTCCAGAGCAGTTTGTTAGTGTGTTTATTAGGATAACAATGCCTCCATCACAGGTTGATAATGAATGTAACACATCATGGTGAACATGGTGAATCATGGCAAGCAGTAGAATTATCAGCCTCAAGTCCTTATGGACTTGTGTGTCCACTGCAACAAACCATGTCTCTTCCACAGCTTTCTACTCACTAGACTATCTCCTGTTCTTCCCTGAATCTCCAACTGCCTCCCTTCCTTCAGCATTAGCTTCCTGTGCCAATAGCGGTGGTGCTTTGGTTCAGATTTGTGCAAATGATGAACTAACAGGCCAAACAGAATATAATCGCTGTAGTCTCTATCTTTGCTAAAGGAGGAAAAGATGAACAACAATTTGGATCTCTAAGTAATCATCGGTTTTCACAAAAGCCGTAGGAATTCTGTGAAAACTCTAACATGTACTTCTTTAAAGCTGGCAATAGATTTAAAAATCAAGACTGTCTGATGCCTGCCTGACAAACAGGCAGGTATCACAACCATGTATGACTTACTCTCCACACAAAGTAAGGTAATGCAATAGCCTTGTATTTCCTTACATGCATAGCACTTGCAGGATTTTCAACACTGATTTTGTTACATCAGTTAACACTGATGTTTGTTACATTTCAAATATATATCTTCCAATTACCTTACTGTATGTGAATAGTCAACTATTAGTATTTTCATTGAATAAATCAGCAGCTATAACATTCTGTTTAAATAAGTTGAGAATCACAGAATTGCAGAATGGCCTAGGCTGGAAAGGACTTTAGA